CCTCTTTAAGCCCCTGTAGAATTTTTGCGCAAAAGCTGCAGCTTTGAATGATCTTGAAATGTAGGAGAAATAGTTCGATTCAAATTTTTTACCGACGCAATTTTACTGTGGTAAGGTTATTATCACAGTTGGTGAAGTTTAAGGCTTTAAAAGCAATCTGAGAAGCATGCGGAGGCGAAAGCTGGTAAGTGGCAAGTGAGATAAAAAGTTAAATAGAGGGCTCGAATTGTATCAGACGGAGTAAAATAACTGTTTCGAGACTTCGGTTGTTTCTCTAAACTTCGCTCCATATCATGATATGAGAAGCGATAACAAGGGACTTTCCTTTGAAATAGATCTTGACTATGTCATTCTTTAGTCTGTCCACCGCTGTATGTTTCGTTTCAGTCAACTAAGCGAGAGGCCTAAAGTGAGCGCGCGATGGTCTGTAATAAAACAGAAGTCTGTGAACTAATTAGTCGAGCTTCTGATAATTCATACCATGAGAGTCGCACAAACATATGAAACATGTTTCTAAACCTAGGAAAATGCCCTACGCCGCTTTAAATTCTGTTATTCTGTTATTCTGTTATATCTAATTGACTTTAAAAAAAAAGCAAGTCTGTCCAGAGTGAATTTTGCATTCTCGGTTGCGCCAAAGACCATTCTTTGCAGGCGGAACCGCATGGGTTGAAAACCCCGAGGCTCCACAACTATTGACGGTTGATGGTTAATTTTTTTGGCCGATTTTGACGGTTGACAGATAATTTTTAAGCCTTGTGACGATTGAAATTAAATTTCAGAGCCTTTGATGGTTGACAATTATAAGAAGATATCTTTCCCTGAGTAAACAATGTATAATGAATGTTATGTTAGTATCCTACGCACTTTTAGGATTCCCTTTCATTGAAATGTTACGTAAGTATCTCGCACACTTTCTGAATTCTCATTTATTCGATTGGAATTTTACTGTTTCCCTTACTTTTAGTATTTTTAGCACGGATTAAAAAGGTATTTGCTTTGGAAGGAATTATTTATATGCTTACGAAAACTCCCATTGATGCGTTTAACGATAAAAGCTATCCACAGGTTTCGAGACATGATCTAAGCGTGATCTCAGTTCTTGTCGAACGGCAGTAGTGGTGCGTAGTTCAGTGTGCAAAGATAAGTATCAACTCATTAACTTATTTATTAAAATGATTTCAAACTGCCGGTTTTATAGGAGAAAATAAGACGGTGAGAGTGAAACTGAGCATCTTTGAAAATCTGAAGACTAGCTTACCGTTCCAAAGATTCTTTCAGATCTAAAACTGTTGGTAGCGACCGGCTAAAATAGAGAGCTTCTTTAGGCCGTTTAAATGTTGATATTCATTTGCATTTTGATGGTTGACAGTAAATATACATCCTTCCTGACGGCTGATAGGTAAATTTTGAGCCCCATAACGGCTGATGGTTAAAACTCATTAAGACTGTCTCTCATTGCAGCGGCTGTTTATAATTAAAACAACTTTTATTCCTACAAGTTTTTTAATTTGCCGGAAGGTTTTCCGACCCGACTGATTTTACAAAATGAACCAGACTTGGAACAGGTTAAAATCGTAAAAGTGCACAAGATACTAACCTAACATTCATTATTTATTGATTACGTATAAAAATATATCTTCCTAATAAATGTCAACCGTCAAAGGCCCTGACATTCAATCGTCAACTGTCAAACCTAAAAAGAAATTATCCGCCAACCGTCAAAGCTATCTCCCATTAAGATCCTCTTTCGAGGAGAACGGAGAATAGATCAGTCGTGGCTCACCCGGTATACAGGCGGCGGGGGGGGGGGGGGGGGGGGGGGTGGCAATGGAAAAATGACTACCAATCGAGGGGAGAATGCTAAGAACATTACAGAGACTTAGGGGGAATCAGGATAATTATCTCCTAGGTAACAGCCGGTTTTTCGCTACTCGTCGAGTTCGCTACATGTTCGTTACTTACATGCCGAATTCGCTGCTTAGTTCATCCTACCATTCTATCATTCTACTTCCACGATATTTTAGAACCAACTTCTTTTTTTAAAGAAATCTGCCTTATTCAACCCGAAATGGGCGCCATGTTTTAGCATATTATCGTGGTTATCATCGAGCCCGCGCATCGCTCACAATGAAACAGCGGCATTAACAAGAGAGAGAAAGCACAAACCAGTAAAGAAGAGTCAAAATTATTAATTTTACAGCACTTTCTTTATTATTAAACTATATTGTTCAGAGTCTATATGCATGCTTAAAAGATTTCTACTCAGAGTAATGTAAACGAATTGAATCCAGGGGTACCGAATTTAGGTGAGAACACACAGCACTTGAAGAGCATATTACGAAACTTTTGATTATCATATAAAATCTTACTTTGATTACAATGATTATATAAAATCCTAAATCCTACTTAACTAGGCATTGAAACCTAGGCTATCTTTGCACGCTATAAAAGCTGTTTACTTAATTCACTTATTATTAGGAAAATATCGTAGAAAAACTACGGTTTCTGGCAGTTCATCGGAGGCTCCGTGATGGATGATTCGTCTTGAATGGCAACATCACCATTTTAAAACAAAAATAAGAGATTATTTAGAGGTGTGTTAAACAGAAAAGTCATCTACCATTAAAGTTTACCATTAAAGAAGACACAGGCTAATAAAACTTTTCACTGAGAATGCTCATGGTAAGTTTTAGCGATGGATTATACAGTAAACTGAGTACAGTTATCTTTGTGTGAAAATCGAGCTCCGATGAATATTACATTTAAAAACGGCAACTTTCTACTATCAGGGAGATTGTAAATCGTCGACTGGAACGAATCGCTTTGGGTCGAACGAGGGTTGGACTCTGACGACTCAAGAATTTCGGCTGACGCACTTAGTCATAGATATTCTGTAACTCTCGGCCACTGGACAAAAAAACTGACAGGCTATGCAAACCCAATCTATCCCGGTAGCTGTGCGTACAGCGGCTCGATAATCTTGTTGAGAAATTCCTATGAAAAAAAAAGTAAGCTACGGAACGATTTCTTGCAGCAAAATACCTGACGTCACCTCAAAGATCAAACGGGGTTTTACAAACTGAATGAAAATGAAGTATGAAAGATAACTTAAAAGTGATACAAGTCCCGTGGTTCCACTTTAAGCAAACGTCGCATTGAATTCCTTCTTGCCGCGATGTAACAGGTCTTTCACACGTGATGCAATTGTCGGCCATTCTTAAAATTAACTTAACATGATCAGTTCAACTGACCTCTAAAAACGGCAATCGCGCAGTTGGGAGTATAAATTACTGATATTGCTAGTGGTTTTATGGTTAAAAGAGAAATTAAAACTGTGAATTAACAGAGGCAGCTAATTCAGCATGTTAGTAGCGAACTCCAACGTAGCGAACTCGACGAGTAGCAAAACCAGCGTAAAGCCTCTCGTGACAGAACCAAAATCCTTCAGCATCCCTCCCTCCTCCCCCTCTCCGGCGATAAGTAATGATCGGCTCCTAAAGTAGATAGGATTATTTTCTTCATTCTACGGTTCTGTGAAAAGATGTAATGGCCAAAAGTGTTCATCAATGAATCAAAAAACAGTTGGAAACAATTCACTGCAATTGCTGAGTGCGAAGAACGAGAACCACCTTATCTTACCTTGTATTACTGATTTTGAGGTTAAAGAAATCTGCTTTACTTTGCACCGTTAATTCAAGGTTAAAATTATGTTTTTGGATTAATTTGTAACATTATTCTCAGCTTTGTTTCAGGTTTAAACCACA